CGCAGGGGGCTGGCCTGCCCGTGGCGCGGGGGAAAGTTGAGTTCGGAGAAGTTGGGAGCGGCGGGGGCGCGCCCCGAGGTGGGCACGGGGAGTCGTCGGGAGCGCGCGCGGGCGCCGGAGGACCGGGAGCGACCCCGAGACCCCCGGGGCACGAAGTCCAGAGCGAGCGGGTGAGCAGCGGGGTGGCGGCGGGGGAGGGCCCGGGCCGCGGAGGGAGGGAGGAAGGGAGGGGAAGGAAAGGGGGGAACTCGGGACTCGGGCGGGAGGGAGTGGAAGTGGAGGAAAGGGCGGAGACTGGGGCGCGGAGAAGCGAGGTCTTGGGGAGCAGGATGCCGAGGAGGGGAAGACTGGTCGTTAGCCGAGTCGGGGGCCGAGGGTTCCCTGGGCGAGCGTGCCGCGCCCCCTGCCACCCGGAGGGGGTAGTCTCTGGGAGGAGCCGCGGCCGCCGCCCCCCCTCCTGGGCGGGCTTCAGACGACACCCCTCCCCTGCGACCCCCAAGGCTACCCTTCCGGGTCGTCCTGGGCGCCCTGCCTGGAGGTTGCCCCGGGCCTCGGCCGCGACCCCCGGGGTGGGAGCGCGAGCCGGGAAGGGGGTGCCGGGTCAGGTTAGGACAAGGGGTCTGGCCGAAGCGAGAGCAGCTGGGTGCGGATGGGAGCGACCAGCCCGGAGAGCTGGCCCGGAGGGACTCGGGGCGGCCTGGCTTGTCGGGGTGTGGGGCAGCGCTGCCCGAAAGCCAGGGTCCTTATCCTCCTCCTCCTCCACCGCCCCCACCTCCGGTGGCCCCTAGAAGGAGAGCTGTGGAATGTGCGGGTTCGCTTGGGGGGTGGTTAATGCCCGCGTGGGGGTCTAAGGGCTAATCCTCGGGCGGGGGAAAGATGCTAATCCTCCGGGCCGGTCGGGGCTGGTCCCGGGAATGTGCCCCCACCGGGATTATCTGCACGGTGCCGGGGACAGAAGTTGCTTTGTGTTCGGGCACTGCGGGGGGAGGGGGGAGGAAGACGGGATGGAGGAGCCCGTTGAGGGCACCGGATGGAGGTGGGACGGAGGCACCTGCCGCACTCAGGACTCCCACACCCTTCCTGGGCCAGGTTCCGCCCCCAGCCCCCCTCACCCCACCCCAGACTTGCCCTGGCTGGAGGCCACCGGGGGAGGTGAAGGGAGCAGTCAGCTGAGCTGGAGCAGCTGCCAGGAATGTGTCACTCCGCCTCCCCACCCTGGACAGACCCCCAGGCCGGTGCGGTTTGATCGGGCGACCGTCTTGGCCTGAGTTAGCCCTCTGGGGAGCAGCCCTGACCCAGCTTCAGTCTGCCTTCTGAGAGCCACGAGTGTCTCCTGCACTCCCCCCACCACATGTGGGTACCCCAGTTTACGCTGGCTGTTTCCTAACCACAGCTCTCCCCCACCTCCACGGCCCTGCCACACAGCCCTGTAGTCACCATCAGGAGGCATCAGCTCAGCCACTCAGATTTTCCTGACCCCAGACAGGGAGAAGGGACATGGGCTTGTGCCCACCCTCCTCCGCTCAGGCCCCCTCCCCCGCGATAAAGCTCTGCGGGACTGTGCCCTGCCTGGGTCCCTCCTTCCCCCCACCCAGTAAGAGCTCTGCCCCTCCCCCAGGAAGCCCGCTCCCCCCCCTGCCAGCCGTCATCAGGACAGGCACAGTCATGCACCCCCTCCCGCTCTGGGCCAGTCTCCGAGGCCCCTTGCTCGCCAGGGCTCCTTCCAGAGTTCTTCCTCTTTCTCCCCCTCCGCTCCCAGCACACCCCTCCGGTCTCGTCTCACCTCTTGTGCAGCCACCAGGTCAGCACTGCATTTCGGGCTCAGCCTGTCCCTCCCTCGCTCGCTCGCTCGCTCCCTCCCAGATCTGCGCTGCCTCCAGGTCTGGCCTTGACTCCGTCCCCTTGCAGCCTCTCCCACTCTGCTCTGTCCTCCTCGCTAGGCCTCCCTGTGGCCCTCTGCCTCGCCTCCCGTCCCTTTGTTCTTCCTTTTCCTTCCTATTAATAACTCTTTGCTCTGGCCGCCTTCAAGGGCCACTGGAGGGCCCTCGGCGCCCGGGGGATCCTGCCCAGCGATGAGAGCCCTCCTGGCAGGCGGCCGGCCCTGAAGCCTGGGCCAGGGGGCTGCGCCATGCCGGGCCAGGGGAGCTGGGCTCTCAAGCCCTGACCGGACCTCTCCCCACGCCCCCAGGTTATGCCTCCGCCTTGTCGCCCTGAAAGCCGCAGCGACAGCGAAAAAGGCTAAGCTTTGGCCATGAGCACCGGGCCCCGGCGCCCGGCCCTGGGCGCAGATTCCTTCCGCACGGTGAGTAGGAGGGCCCAGGCCGCAGGTGTTCTCGGCCGAGGGTCCCACCCCGACAGGGGCGTCTGTCCGTGGGAACACGGGGAGGGTGGCGCTGTAGCACTGGGGGGGGGGGTGCCCATCCCTGGCCTGGTCTGGCCTGGCGCAGATGGGGCTGGGGTCAGGGGTGGGGTCTGGGTGGGGGCTAACCCGCTTCCAGCCGGGAGAGGGAGCTCTGAAGACCCGTGCTGGGTTGGCCTCAGAACTCTGGGGACCCTGGGTCTCTAACTTGGCCACCCCACCCCTGCCCCAGCCCGGAGGCAGCTCTGTGCACAGCAGTTCTGGGCCTGCCCGCTGGCCGCCAGCGGCCCCGCCCCCAGGCCCACGTGCCTCGCCGACCCGCCCCTCTGGGCCCCCACGTGGCCGCTGCCCCCACGTGGTGCCCTCCGGATTTTCCTGGGAAGTCTAATGATTAACCCTGCGCGCCACAATCAGTCGTTATTGGTCACCCCGGCCCAGTGGGCACGTGACGGGGAAGGGGCGCAGGCCGCCCCCAACCCCTCCCTCCCGAGTCCACCCCTGCCCGCCATGGACTTCCTCCTGCGGCCTCAGGTGCGAGGGGTTCGCGCCCCCTCCCCCACCCCGGCTGGCTAGCTCCCCGCCCTCGCTCGCTTCAGCCGCCTCCCGCCGCCTTCCCGCGCGCTAATTCTGGTGAGAGCGGGGCGAGCTCTTGGGGGAAGCCTGGCGCGGCCGGGACGGGCTGGGGGAGCCGCCCGACCCCCGCCTCTTCCGCAGCGGTGCCGCGCTGCGCCTGGGGACTCCAGACCCGCCTCCTCCCGGCCCATCCTTGCCCCCACGCGCCCACGGGCTCCGTACCCCCGCCCTTGGCGAGTCCGACGCCCTTCAGGTCCAGAAGCGCTTGAGCAAATATTTGGCGGCACCTGGAGCTGAGACGGGCAGGGGCGGAGGGGAGCTGGGCCGGGCGCCCCGCCGGGC